CATGTGATCGACATACCTATTACTATTAAAGGTGCGATCTGCATTACCCAAATTTGGTATATTCCCTGACTGTAATACTATACTCATAACTAGATAACAATATAGTACAACTAGATAATAGTTTTATAAGACTATTATCCAGTAAATTTTAGTTTAAATTCAGGTTCAATTATCTGCAAAATTTGTAGTTTATGTTTAGGTTTAGTTTAGATTTATTAAACCTAAAATAAACTGAACTAAATTTAGAAACACTATACTAAAGTTAAAATTTCTAGTTTTTTTATATGCAACTTTTTTTTTTACTTAGATAACCTAGTTTTGTCTTTTAAGTAAAGTTGTTTGGTATAAAATTTTATATATATATATTTGTCAAAACATATTTTCACAAACCTTTTACTAAGTCAAAAATAAAGTTAAAGTTAGAAAAAAATTTTTCTTTAACTTTAATCCTATTTTTACCTTAGTAAAAGGTTTATAAAAATATATTTTGATAAATATATATATGAAAATTTTATATTAAACAACTTTACTTAAAAGATAAAACCAGGTTATTTAAGTAAAAAAAAAATTACATATAGAAAACTAGAAATTTTAATTTTAGTATATAGCTAACTTATTTTTCTATCAAAATAACTTGTTTTTATTTTCTAAATTGTTTAGAGTATACATTTATATATAATTATCACTTTAATATTAGTAAATTTTTATTTTTAAAGAAGTTATATTTTAAAATATACAAAAATAACAGAGCTATAACTTGTCAAATAAAATGAAAAATTTTTTCTTTTTATACTCTATATAATCACAAAATTTAATTTTAACATGTAAATCAAAAAACATCAAAGCTGCAAAGTTTATAGTAATTTTATATATTTTTTATTATAATTTTATATATAAAAAATTTATATATTATATATATATGACAAATCGTGTAACTGCTATTAAAAATATAGATTCTTTACTCTACTTTTAATATCCAATACTATAAATTAATAAATTCAAAAACTTGATTTTCAAGTTTTTGTTTGATTTTGCTATATACTTGGCTAAAGCCAGATATATTACAATTTTTTTAATTTTTAATTAAAATTGATTGATATTAGAGTTAGAGTTAGGTTAAAGATAAAAAAAAAAGATTTATGCATAGCAAAATTGCATTCTGATACTTTTATTTAGTAAATCAAAACTAGTTTAGATAGCTATGTCTTTGGTTTATTTAGACAGATCTGGGTTACATACTGGATAATTTCGTAATATACCTGGCTTTAGCTTACCCCAAGCCAAAAGATGGTTTTCTAATCAAATTTTAAAATATTAGTTGGTTTTTTATATCTGTATACATATACTATATGTATAAAAAAAACTTTTATACTTTCTTATTTAACCTGATTTGATGCAACTGCTTTCTGAGTATCATAATATCTTAAAATATCTTGGTAAGCAAGGCATGCCTTTTCTCTTGTTTCTTTTGTTTTATAATATTGATTTTATTTTATAAATATAGCTTTCTGGAAGAGTGTTGAAAAACTTTCGCTTATAAAATTTTTAAAATTCTATTTACGCAAAGGCAATTTGGGTGATTCGAAAACAGAGCACTGAAGAATTAGATACTATTACAGAATACTTATCTGATTTATGTGAGGTTGTGAAGCAAGTGAACAAATAGAAAATTTTATTTAATGTATTTATTTTACTATCTGTATTGCCTAGCTCCATCATCAACTACACTGTTAAATGCTGTTTGGCAGTGGGAAAGAATTGTGTTTCTGTTTGTGAACAGACAAGCTTGGTATGTTTTTTTATTAGTTGTTCTTTTTATATTTTTGTGTAATAATACTTATGAGCATTATTTTGAATAATAGCCTGAATTAAGATTAATTTGGGCCAAAACTTGAAATTACACTCCTGCATGTTATTATATGAAAATATGGTAATATTATTAGAATAATAAAGTTCTATAAAGTAAAAGATTTCTGAGAATTGCATGAAGTTATTCAAAGTAAGAACAGGTTTTATAAGAAAAAATTATGTCTATAACAAGTAAGTTATTAAGTATGTTTAAAAATCTTAGTGACTTTTTTGTTTGATATTGATTATGATATATTTTTGTGATAGTAAGCTTTTAAACTTAATATATTTTCATATATGTATTTCCTAATTAATAAGAATACTACAGGTTAAATAAAGAGGCTATAGGGTCAAAGGCTAGAAAACCAGTTGGCAGAGCAAAACAATGAGATACCATTATTAATGAAATCAATCAACTGTTTTGAAGCTTGAGCAAAGGACATGGTGAAGTGAAAGTTTAAGAAAAGATAAATAACCTTTACCTTCTTTGTACTAATATTATCCAGATAGCTATATTTAACAAAAATGCAAACAACTTTTATAATATGAATTGTATGCTTAGTTTTCAAGCTGTCAGTGAGTTTTTAACAGTCACTAAACAATTGTTTTGTACTCTAAGGCATTATATTACATTCTATCTCACTACTCTTTTGTGTAATATGTTATTATGCCTATGTTACTTAAACAAGTTCATGTTTTTCTCACTAGCTTTGATATTGTAATATAGAAAGCTGGCCTTGCTAACTATACTACTTGACTTAATGTGAAGAGGGTAAGGATATGTGTATACAAAAGGTAAAACTCAAATAAAACTCAAAGAAGACTCAAATATAACTCAAA